GTGATTTATGGTAGTAGTTCCGTCTTTGTGAGGTCGAAACAGCGGCGCCTCTACGATGATAGGTTGTTGTTGGTGGCGATGGGCAGTGACGGTGGTGGTGCCTTTTTTGTTGTTGGTGGCGATGGACAGTGACGATGGCTAGGTGGTGGTGGTTCGTTTTTGTTGGTGGTGGCGATTACGGTTGTGCATTTCTGTTGGTGGGAGAGGTGGTGGTTTCCCGTGGTGTTGGTGGTGTTGTGGTGGTGGTGGGGTGAAGGTGCGCAAGTGGCAGTGGTGGTGGTGATGTTGGTCGTGGTGGTTGTCTGGATCTGCGGTGGTGGTTGTGGCAATAGTGCAGAGGTGGTGAGTGTAGATCTGGTCATTTTGGTTTTCTGTGACTAAAAATATTATCTGTGACCTTAAAATTCGATAATCTGTGAATAAAAATATAATTCGTGACCAACCATTTCGTTATCTGTGATCTAAAAATTATATAATATGTGACCGTGAAAAATTTGTGACCAACTAATTTGAAAATCTGTGTTCGTATGACCTTCTGTGACTAAAAATATAATTTGTGACCTTAAAATTCGATAATCCGTGACTAAAAATATAATCTGTGACCAACCATTTTGTTATCTGTAACCTAAAAATTACATAAACTGTGACCGTGAAAAAAAATCAGTGACCAATTATTTTAGTAGTCTGTGACCGTGTGACGTATAAAAATGTTGTGACCAAAAATCAATATTAACAGGTCACATGTGGACAAGTCGCCGGATAGTCTCCGAAATCGGAATAGCCGTCGGAACGGTCACCGAAATATTCTCCGGAATCGAAGAAGTCGTCGGAGCGATAGGGGTGGTGGAGGTGGGGCGGGTTAACTATATATATGTGTGTGTGTGTGTGTGTGTATGTTAAAATATCTGATTTTAGAAATTTCAAAGTTGTTTTCTTATTTTTGAAATGGTATGTAGGGTAAATCTTATATATGAATTTTTCCCTTTTTGTTTTTAGATGTGCAGATAAGAAAACAACATGAAATTTCTTGCATTAAGATATTAGAAGTCATATCTACCTGACTACCTCCAGAGGCGGACGCAGACCTTAAAAGTTAGGAGGCACAATCGAACTTGAAAAGAAATTGGGAGAAATTTTACAATCGAAAATTTACGTCCAAAAAAATCATACCCCATGTAATTTGACATCCGAAAATTTACATGAGATATAACTTTTTCGGATGTAAAATTTCGACAAATATTGATGTTATATTCCATATAAAGTTTCCTAATAAAATGATGAAAATTATATTTTTTTCGGATGTAAAATTTCAAAAAATTTTGATGTCATATTCCATATAAAATTTTCTAATAAAATGATGAAAATTATATTGAGAAATTTGTATCGCAAAAATAATAAATGTTAATGAAATAATTGATGTGAGTTAGACGTCTGTTTTTAAGACTCACGTTTAACGTATTTGTAACTATTTTCGATATCTGTTTGGACTATTCGATATGCCCATAATGTAGTTATCAAAATAAGTTTTGAGATGACATAAGCAATTTGTAGATTCGATTAGCGTACGATCGTCGGATAATTTTTAAAATTAGAATGTTATCGAAATTCAAATTTATTGTGATTTTGCCCCTGTTTGGAAGAGATTAAAATCAAATTTTTAGTAAATTTTGATAAAAGTTAAACATTTATGGATTCCATGAAATATGCTATTAAAATTAATTGTTAACTTTGATTTAGATTAAAATTTAGATTTCAATCGATATCAAACACGATTTTATAAAAAAAAGTTTCAAAAGTTGGGGGCACTTGCCCACCAGGACCCCCTAGGTCCGCCCATGTCTACCTCTAAAATCTACATGTAAAATATCTGAAAGTATGGATGTTGGACAAATGTTTCGATGACACTTTTGCTTTGAAAATCAAAATCCTAAAACAATTCAATAAGAAATATAAATTATCATTAAATATGTTTCCAGGCATGTTAAAATACTAATTAACCATGGTTCATATTTCTTTGCTATTAACCATTTATGTACTGCGTGTCAAAACTCAATAAAATTTCCAAGAAAGTTGTAATTCAAATGCTATTGAATCCGAACTGAACGCGAGCTTGGAGTTGCCCGATCATTCAACGATAGAAAAATCCGTCTCAAAATCAATTTCCCGTGCACATTTCTTGATTTACTTTTCTTTATTAGTTTGTAGTTTCTACTAAGAATTATACTTTTAAGGATGTATTTATGGTAAGAGTGTCTTTCTTAATGATTAATTGGCTTCTCGTTTGTTGATGTAATTTGTAATGGAATTCTCAATTATGTAAGTAGCCAATTTCGTATATAACTTCATTGATAGCAAAAGCATCAACAACAATGTTGAAATTTCGTCTGCAAATCGAGAAGTTAAATTCACGAGTTCATACATGACAATAGTGCCACGTTTTTCAAAATAAATGGATGCAAAGGCATAAATTCAAATAGACATAATAAGTGACAAGGTCAAGTCGGGAAATGACAGATCAAGGTTCATGAGTACAAAGAACCCCAACAAATTCAAGATTGTTGAATGTTGGTTGATCATTCCATTGTATATAGAGAACTAATAATTAAAGTATTAACTTTAGCTAATGATGAATTTCACGTTATGTAAGGAATCACTAAGTGCAATTATGATTTTAAAGTTGACCACCACTGAGAGTTTGACTTGATTGATTGCATGAAGTTCAAGTATTTTTTTTGGGGGTGGTGATTTAGTAGTAGTGGTGGCAAAGTGGCTCTGTTAACTATTCCGTTAGGAACCGCAGATTTTTTGGTACATGCATTTATGATTCATGTCACGGTATTGCTCCATCCGCACAGTGGCAGAGAACCCATCAATGTCTCGGCTGTGCTACATGAAGCTTTGGGTGGTTATATATATTCTTCTTATCCTTTTAAGTATATAGTGTTCTAAGGGAGTTGAAGCGTCTTTTTAGAAGTAATTTTCATTTTTTTCTTTTTTCTCTTAGTAAATAAACAGTAGATTGAAACAAAAAATAGAAGAAAATTACAATACGTATTGTAATTATTATTTATCTCATCATAATCTACAAATTTTGTTGTCTTTCCACAGGGAAATTCTTGGGAACTTACATAAATTACAAAGCAAAATTATTCTATACTACAAGGTACTTTAATTAGGCAATCAAAAGCCTTGACAAAAAGGCACACAAAATTATTCAGCTAAGGTATTCTTTTTAATCTTCACAGATTTGGGGGATACATACCCAGCTTATTAAAGATTTGGGGACATTTTGGAAGAGCTTCTTTCTTGAAGAATCCAAGAGGATTTATCGTGCGTGTGGTACCATTTACTGTATTGAGTATAAACTTCAATGATGGTTTTATCCATCCTTCAGTAGGAATTTCATCACAATCTTTTCTGCTACTTGAAAACAATGTGATTTCGCAAAACTCATTCACGTTCAATGAGCATGCTATAGAGTCCTTCTGCTCTCATGTAGCCTACCTCAGTAAATGTTATGTTTCCATTCTCCGCGTCTTTGCATTGGAGGCGTACACCGGCACCTACAGTTAAGATTCAAGTTATAATTTATGAAGTGTATCTATTATGATTCAGTTTATCAGCAACAAATACACCAAGATAAAGAAGATGTTTGAACGCTCAACATCTGAATTCTTATAACCAAGCATTCATTTCATACGAGATAAGATTTGCAATTCTACATGCTTATTCTCTAATAGCAAGTTGAACTGCCTCATAAATTGTTAGATAAAGAAGTTCGGCAACAATTGAAGCATCAAATTCAAATTTTGTCGAAACTTTTTACAAATATGGGGACAAAAAAATTCAACTTTGAGTAGCATTTTGTACAGATTATAATTGTTTATCTGGGATGAACTCGCTAAGTTCAGTAATGAATCGAGCACGATATGTATCGCAATAAACCTGTCCCTGAATGTAGAATTGAAAAACTGGGGGTTGGGGAACGTCTTCTGAGTTGACGATGCCAGGGAGGGACAAGAAGCATAAAGCTATAACGAAGAGAAATGAAACTTGGATAAGCCTTTCCATATTTCTTCTTCGTTGATTTTTAGGAAGATCAAAAGAAAATTTGATTGTGTTTTGCTCCAACTCAACATTCTTATTTATAAGGAGGTTGATTGGTTCCTATTCTATCGACAATTATTTTTATGTGGTCAAGTTGAGAATCTATTCGTTCTTTTTGGATCTAAATTTAGAATCTAGAAACTATTTACTATATTTAACCCATGTATATGTGATTTCTAAATTATTAATTTCTTCAGAAATTTTAACAAAAAATTCATGAGATTAGGATTATTTTTATCTCTATGACTTTTTCCTTTATGTAATTAGGATTTTGCAAGAAGTGGTCGATTATAATTCTAGAGCTTAGTATCGAAAATCACGTTGAAATTGAAATTTCCGCTAAACCTCGCTTCACTTCTTTTTTCATTTGATTGCTTTCTCATAATTTTTTTTGACGTCTTAGCAAATCATTTCCCATTAGCAAGTGGTAAAATACAAAAATAGTACGATATAAATGACGGCACTAAGAAAAATTCGAATTCTTATCTATTAACAAAAGTTGATGTGTGAAAGTTTCAATAATTCGTGCGAAGATAGCCAGATGGAGATAGCAAATCTCAACTCAGTTAATATTTAGTATTTACTCAATTTTTTTATAACTAAATAATATTAATATTTTTCTTTTCCTTTTTAATTTAGATTAATAATTTTTTCTATAAATGAGATAAATAAATAGAAACTGTGAGGCCTTGAAAAGAAAAAAGATACAAAAACGATTCTCATAGTGCTACAATAAAGAACTAACATTAATAAAGCAAACTTTGATGAAGCTGTAATCTGAATGCAATTTATTCAAATTGGCGCAAAACCATCCATATGAGATTCATTTGTTACAAAGGGATTTCAAATGCTACAGATAGAAGACCTTTTACAGAAACCAGAGAAGGATAGAGTTAAGCAGCTTCAGCAAATCCAACCCTCATATTCCCATAGTCGAACGCAGTGTGATACTGACCCATGAAAACATCAGCCAAAATCCTACAAACATGTTAAAAATTTAGGATTATGAAGCATAAATTGTGGGGAATGGCAATTTAAGAGTAAAGTAAATCACATGTGACGGCTTCTTGATTGAGTCATTAGCTTGCATTATGAGGCAACAGAATTACGGGAAACGTGGCAATTTAAGAGTAATGTTATTCACATGTGACGGCTTGTTGTTTGAGTCATTAGCTTGCTTTATGAGGCAACAGAATTACGGGAAACGAATGCTTCAAACAACATGCTGCCACATGCCCACATAGGATGATTACTGTGGTCGCTGACTTTGAATAACATCATTCATTTATATATATGTATAGGTAAGAAGATTTTACCACAAGGGGCCGCGAGGAGGGGCCACGTCTAAGGCTGTAAATCCACTAATACACTGTGCTACATCACCTTCACCAACTCGAAGGACATACTGGTAGCAACCATAACTATAAACATTAAGGAAGAACATTGTTGACCTTTGTAATCGAATTTAGAAGAAATGCGATAATTATAGATGATTGAGATGCAGTACTAATATTTGTAAGCACTGTTATTTAAAGATTACATATCATTAATAGTCTAACAAGTTTCTCCTGAATTATGTCTACTATCCAATTTCCAATTTCTTTAGTTGTACTGGCACTCTGAAAGATTATGGATACCCTATATTAGAAGATACGCAACTTTTTAAACAAAGAAAAGCACATATAATGTAAGATGGGAAAAGGTGAACATATTCTACATACCTGCTCACGGACGAGATCAAACAATTTACCACCTATGGTAAAGGTATCATTGGGCATGGAAGCAGGGGCGGACCTAGCACCTGGCCAGCCCCCGCGACCTCCCGTATTGGATCCATCGGGAACTTCAGGTTAGTTGCTTCCACCGGGAAGAAATGAAGAAGACGCCCGCTGCCAAGAATGGGTGGCTAGGCCATTGGGCCTGAATTTCTTTTTTTCTTTCTTATTGTTTAGGCCTTTTTTTAATAAAAAAAAGGCCCAATGAATGGGCCCAATCCATGGTGGCTGTACTGGAGAAGTCACTGGACCATGGTTATTTGTCCACCGGATGATGGATATATGGGTTTTGCTTGCAATTGCAACCCATTAGCCACAAAACCAAATCCAATTCCAAAATTGAAAACCGGTCAACAGTCAACCGGTTTCCGTCCTAACTGAACTATAATGTTGGATTCGCCTCTGCATGGAGGAAAGGCTACTGCACTCGACAGTTGATTCTCCCATTGGACTGGGCAGTAGATCACAGAGCTGCAGTTGAAATTTGAAAATATGGGCTGCAGAACACAAATAAGCAACATTTTAATGGCATGTTTGATGGAGGATTAGTAGTATTGAAAAGTAGTAAGAAAGCAATATAAGCTAAAATCGTGTTTATTATATTGTCCACTCCTATCCAGTATTGAACCTAACAGAAGTCTAAAAGCCTGAATGAGTTCATGATTTTTTCTTCTGTTTGATTCCGTCTAAGCCCACGTTTGAGCCACTTTTTTATCTCATTAAAATGAAAAATATGACCATTATCCATTACATTAACATTTAAATTCAAATTTTCTATCTCTTGTGTGAGCCCAAATAACGATTATATTTTTCATTTTCATTATACAATAAGGTGGCTCAAACGGGGCCTAAGTTGATTTTGCATCCATACAACTGCCATCTGTCAAGCAGTACACATCTCATCGTGCATACCATAAGTGGCCTTTTTGTTGTTCTTGTCCTTCACACTATCAATATTCAAGCTGGACAAACTCAATTCAAATTAGGTGGTGATCAATGTTTATACTTTCCAGTATATGTATATAACGGCATGATTTCACGAGATCACTATGAAGTCTAACATGAATGATAAGAAATCCAGGGAACAACTTGAATCTAACCTAACATCATCAGAAGAGATAACCCGATTCTGGAACAATATTTTTTGGAGCGCTGCCTGTAAACACCAACATGAAGTGCGAAATTCAGGTTCTCAGACAAATTTTACAAATCTCAATTAGCAGAATAGCATCTTATAATACTCTGCACAGTTCATCACTCGATACAGGTGAATCAGTACGTCCTCCGAAAATTTGAAGAAAACGAAACAAAATTAGATAAAGAATACAAGCTCTATACCTCTGATAACAACATTTCAAGTCTGGTTTTCCCGTACTGGGCAACAACAGATTTGCATTCCTGGCTTACAACACCTGAAGCTCCAATGGCATGATTGATTTGAGCAATAAGTCTGAAAACAAGATATTCCAGCATGTCAAACATGTCAGCATATGTATACATGAGACGCAACACGCCAACACATATTATAATTTAGCACAATCAGACAACATTCAAGCATAAGAAACTTCCAATTCATGAATCAAGGATATATGAATACCAGAATGGAACTGAACGTGAAGGGCTAAAGCTAGATTTATAATGGAAAAATCATCAACATAAAGTGATAGGCTTACATCCTTACCAAGAAATAAAACCATAAGCTCCAAGTCCAAACATTGCAGAAAATTTTGGAAACATACTATCAGTCATCCGGTTTTAGCAAGTGTAGCTAGTTTATGTCCTTTACGAATAACATCTGATTCAGTTTTTCAAACTGAAGTTGTTTTTTGCTTGTAGACCCAGAGAGTGCTACCACTAAAATTACTTTGATCGCTTTTCCAATCACATCCTAGACAAGCTGAGTTATTTTTTGCAATCACTATTGGCAGAGCAGTTTGCCAGTTGCCAAAAGTAAGCTCCATTCTTGAGTGAATGAATTTGGGTTAAATCCATAAATGCCACCCAACTTTATATAGTTGGTGTTTCAATCCGATTGGTGTTTCGTCATGGTCATCTAACTTTATACTCAGTGTCATCACGGCAACCAAATTTGATTTTATTTCACCATGATCGCCCAAATTTCATGTAACGCTTCATCATGATTACCCAACTTCTTTTTCATAATTTTAGAATGAGTAAAATAGTAACTTTGCATTATATATATAAAATAATTTTTTTAAAAAATTAAAATAAAAACTTATCTAAAAAAACATTACTTAAAAAATAATGAAATAAAAAATTATTTAAAATAAAAAAAATAAAAAAATATTTTAAAAAAACGTTTTTAAAATAAAATAAAATTCATTTAAAAAAATTAGAAAAATAAATTAAAATAAAAAGTTATTTAAAAAAATGTGTTAAAAAATAAAATAAAAACTTATTTTAAAAATTTTAAAAAACTTTTATTTTTTTTAAATTTATTTTATACATAAAGTACAAAGTTACAACTTCACTACTTTTAAAATTAGTAAAAATGGTGAAGAAATTGGGTGGCCATTGTGAAACTTAATATAAAAATGGGTAGCAATGGTGAGATAAAATCAAATTGGATGGATGTGTTGACACTAAGTATGAAATTGTGTGGTCATTATGAAATAAAATCAAATTAGGTGGTCATGATGACACTAAATATAAAATTGAGTGGTCATTTGTGGATTTAAATAGAAATAAATTTTGTAATAACAGTTTCTTCTTTCCTGAGAATGTGTGATTAAAAAGTAAAATAAAATTTGATTGTATGTACAAAATTATTTTATTGGAAAAATATATAATTGAAAATAAGTTTGAGAAAAAATGAATTTTAAAACATGGGGCTCAAACATGCAATTATATCTACGTTCATGGGACTTTAGTCTTACGTTGTTACTTCATTCGGTATTTTGTCTATTTAAAATGACCAACTTTTGTTTCGCTGATGAAAGTTCGTTTTAGAATTCCTTTATGTATCAAAGTCAGCGCTTTAATGTTCGATTAATTAAGTAATTTATTGTAAGATCGATGTAGTTATTAAAATGGATATTGATTCTAACCATGTGATTTTATATTATTGTCAAATATTATTCTAATACAATGTATTCATTATATCTATTCTAAAATGAAAACTAAAATATTTATTAAATCTCGAATTTATAAAATTGCAAAATAAAAGCATAGTTGATTTTATAAAATTAAATTACATTGATGAGACTTTCAATTTAGTTTTATCAATTTGTTTTTGGAAAAATAAACACTTAAATAGAAAAGGAATTAATATAATTAAATAGGGCTAAAATAGTATTTTAATTATAAATAACATGGTACAAATTCTTTTATAATCAATTTTTTTTAAATACCAAACATCTAAAACAACTTCTCATCATTGGAGAATCAAGATTTGAGCTCCAAAATCAATCTCAAACAGAACCAACCTTGGTGAAAAAAAAATGTTCAATTGCTTACTCGTTCAAACTTTTATCCATCACCATAGTTAAAGGTATTACTCCTACGTGATGAAAACTACCACGTGTTCGAAGAAAATTAAACGTTACATCTTGACAACGTTAAAGTGCAGAGTTATGAACACTAACTCAATCAAGAAGAGCACTGCTTCCAGTAGAAGACTAATTTCTCAGAGTCGCCCAATTATGAAGGACCATGCTACAAGTACATAATCATTTACATAATACATTACATAATTGACATGTGACGCGCATCCATCGGTAGTCTACAATTTTTGACTTTTTCACACTTCACATCAACGGCCGGATTTCTTCCACATGGGGCCTATGTAATCCATTATGTACAATAATTATGTACATATAGATTTATCCCATTACGAAACATGGACTGATACATCACTTGTTAAAACCTACCTAGTGGATTTATGAGCACTTATTGGAGACACACCCCTTTCAAGCAAGCTTTAAGGGTAATAACACTCATTATAACTTCCCTGTAGTTGCAGACCTAGTCAAAGGTTATTCTAGTTTAGAACTAGAGTAAACGACAGTTCAAAAATTTCAGCAAATCCTACTACTGCTTTGGAATTGATACTTTACATAGAAGAAAAGCCATTATTACCGTACAAGGATAGAGAATATTACAAACAGAGAGACTTTTACTTGTTGCTTCAGCCCCTCCACACCAATTTAAGCGTCGGATAATGTGACACTTATCTAGCATACATATTCTATATTTAAATTACAAAAAATCTTTGCTGGTTACTCTTTGTTTAGCTTCCTCTCCTATATACAGATTATACACTTGCACTGTGAAAGAAAAAAAAGATCCTGTCTTTGACAAAATTACTCTGTTTTTTGAGCTCCAGGCCTCCTTCCGTGACTATTTCCTTGAGACCGTGTTCTCTTGGCGGCACATGATAATTTTCGGATAAACTCCTTCAAATGATTATATATGCTGCAATTCAACGTTATGGGAAAAAAAAGCAGTTAAATAAAAACATTCGTTCCTCAATAAAAATGCACGCGAAGGAACTCTTCAACAAACCTAACGTATTATAGTTAAGAAGAAGAAAATGGCAACTTAAAGAATCTGCATGACTACTAAAGATGGCAAATCCATAAGTGAGAAAAAAGAAATTAAGCTACAACTGATTCTATTAATTTGAACAAGAGACAAATAGATGGATCATGAATGTGTACACTTCTCGATGATGAATTTGCACTCTCACTTTTCCCTCCCTGATTTATACACGTATTTTTTTCCCTAGATGGTCTTTAAATAGGGGGAATATAACCGATAATTCACATGAAAATACATTTTATGAAATTGCATTAGTAGATGAAAACAGCAGAGAAAGCAGAAACATGTTCACTCAGAGAAGAATGATAACCTAGAAGGCAAAGGAATCAATAACTGAATAAAGGTCAGAAAGGAAATAATCACATTAATTAGGTGTGTGTAGACCAAAAAAAAAAAAAAAGGAAAAGAAAATGACAGAAAGGATTACGGAAGTAGTTTTTCGCTTGTCACTTAGGAATGTCCTTAAAACTTGGCAAATATGAATGATAGCTGAGTCTAATGATTCATTAACTCGACTCCTACAATCACTATCTGATCAACTTAGATTTTTCCGAATGACTACCTCATCTCAAATCTTAAGCTATGAAAAGCAAATATTATATTTTTATTGGATTTATTTTACCCATTCATCCAAAAGAGAAGGGACTATTTATTTCATGGTCTCTGTAAGCAGCTTCTAGACAAAAGCACTGCAGCAATGATCTAACATGTTTCACAAGGATCAAATTTAGCTGTTTAAAAGAATCATCTCCAAGTCAAATGATGAACGTCACCACATTCAGTTCCACATCGTCAAAGACATCTACATAGCTAAGAAAATGAAGAAAGATCAGTGCACGTGCTTGTCCATGTGTGAGTAAGGTGTGGTAGGTGGGGGAAGAGGAGATTTATGATTTAACTGTTATTTCATTTCCAGGAAAACAGGCTGTTGTTTTCATAAATTGCGGACAATTAAGGTGAAAGTGAATCAACAAAATAGCACATGACATATTTTGTGGAAGGTTATGGAGTTGATTTATATTATCGTGATGTTAAAATTATTTTTTCTTGTTTGCATAGAGGCACATCTTGAAAAGATTACATAATTGTTAATCAAAGATAAGTGAGATCACTGGAGGAAAACCAGAGGCCTGAATCCTACCTTAGACGGTGCCTGTTGCAGGCTGTGAAGAAGACCACAAAACCATTAACAATGCTTCGGAGAGCACGGAAAACCTAATACAAAAGAAAACATTGGTATGAAAATCATACATGATATTTAATTTGGCAGATAAAGATTTATAATTACCAACCTGGGAGAAAAGGTCATTCCAAAGAGAACGCCACATCGAAACCTCATATGAACTCACTGTTGACTCAACATTTGAAGAGAACTGAAAGATACCGCTCATAAACATACAAATATCTCCAACCAACTTATATGTGGAACTAAATACGAAAGCCGCAAGGCTACACAATCCAAGGACCAAACGGAATGGAGCATGGAGTATTTCCCAGATAATCCAGAATATAGGGCATATGATGGATGTAGCTGCAACCCAACACAATATGTGAAATAAAATTAAAATACAATGTTAATGATCTTATCAATTCTAGATTGCAGTTTAATATAAATTTGATAACTTGGATCTTTAAACTTACCAACACTCCAAAATAATGAGAGGATATACCACAGTGGAAGCAGTAGAATCTCGATAAAATTTCCGGTTACTGTACAAGAAGACTCCACCACAGTCCAAATTACTGACAAGAAACTCTCTGCAAGTTGTATACCCATACTCCAAAGAGGAAGGAAGAAATCCAATATCTCCACAAGAGGTTCTACCATTGGCTGTGGAAATATTGAAAGAAACGACCGCGTTGTTTGTGCCATCATAAGAAACCACTGAACAGCCTTCTGAAAATTATGAAGAAACAACATAGTTCCCAAATATTTTATCCTCGAAATCATTTCCCAGGTCTCTATCCAATCAAAAAGGGGTCCGAACAAACTAGAAGCCGTTGCCTTGAGAACTGGTATGTTTTTGTACAGGTCATAGAATCCAATGAGGACAGTAACAATTGAAATAAGCACATATAAAAATCTTGCCAAAGGGCACATCCATGGACGATACAGATGGCAAAATAGCGGGTAAGATTGAACGAAAATTACCCAAGATGGAAGCCCAGATTCAAGTAGAGTGAGTAACCGCAAGTCAGACACAATTATTTCCTTCAATTTAAAAGGAAGGTTTCGATCATTGAATCGAAGTAATATTAAAACATCCCTGTACTGGGTAGCTTCAACTTTGTCCTCACACTCACTTGCACATGAGGTCGGAGAATGTATTGGCGTTCGAACACTTTCAGAGTCTACTTCTTCAGAATAAATGTCAAGGTCAACATCACTATTAATAAACTTCATAACTTTCCTTCTCTTGTAAGGGCCTTCAGGGGGAGGTGGTGTATGCAGTCCACTTGTTCTATTTTCCATGTTTTCTGAATATACAGTGCAACAACTAGGACAGAGAGGAGAATCATCACCACTAATACTGTCATCATTATCCACATTGGTAGACCTCGGAAAATTATCTTGAGCATCATGGAAAATCTCCCCTGTAACCGTCTCAAATTCAGCCAACATAATTAAAATTTTGCATAAAGTCCGAAAGTTAAAATAAAATAAAAAGTGTTACACCATTGCTCCAGGACCATTACAAGGTAATGAGGCTGCTAATTTGTTGGCACTTTCCATTTAATTAGACATCACATATCCCAACAGAAAATGTGGGTGACCTCATTCAAAAGGAAAAAGAAAATGACAGAGATCCACTGGTGCCAAAGGCACATGACTAGCCTGCAGATAAACATGCATGAGCCCCTACCACATACCTAAAACCCTTGAAACAGTGATCACCAGTACTACCATAAAATTTCATTTCTGGCTTCTATTAACATGAAGTTGTACATGCCTGGGACCTAATTCAATAAAGCAACACCCCTCCACTACGGTGCACACACAACATGTTAATAGAACTGATTTCATTTGTGGCTCACAAAAGCACGGAAGCCTTTGACTTAATCTTTCATTTCGTATTATGAAAAGAAAATGAAACAACAATATCATTTGCATAAAATCTCGTGTGTATGCACGAGGAAGATCAAATAAAAGCAGCGTAGCTCAAAATTTACGATTACACATAAATAGACATAAAAGACTCATACATGACAAAATATAGTGATGACGAAATATAGTGTTGACCGAATCATCCAGACTCTGATATCCAGGTACAAACACCATACAAAATGAGCGCTTTAAGTCCCATCAATACTAAATCATACGTTAGAAAGAATACCTATTGTAGTGTCCAAATAATCTTTCAAAAGAGTCTGTTCATCGCGTGTCCCAGGGAACCATGAAGACATGCATCTGACAGCTTGATCTATACTATCGAATTCCCATCTTCTCGTGAATTTAGCTTCTATTGCCAGTGATGTATCAGTCTGCACATGTCATGAAGTTATTTCAAAACTCAGAATTTGTGTTGTAGAGTGCAAAGGACAACATAAAATGAACAGCGTAACAAGTAGCCACCTGAAGCTCGTTAAAATAGTTGATGCCACGCACATTACTCCATGCGACCTCAAACACAATAAAGCCGTACAAGGTTCTATGCAATTTGCTATTAAAAATCAAAGAGTTCCTAAGCTTCTTTACAGGAAGCAAAGCCCTCTTCCGGGATAACATTGCAGCATCAGTAAATGATAACCACTTTTTGAACTTCTTCGATTTGCCTGAATTTGATTTGGAAAGAGTAGGTAACTCTGGAAATTCATCTGTCACCTTTTTCTCCTTGTTCCCTCTACTGTTCGCGAAGGGAGACATCCTGGACTGTCACATTTTCCAAAACAAGTAATTTTAAAAATTGTATTAGCGTTAATGTTACAAAGATACACATTCTTGCAAACTAGACTGAGACAGATGTTTCCAGCTACCTTAGTGACCATCAATTGCCAAAAATGCGTAGGCTTGGAACCAAGATCTTTCAACCATGGCCGGTTGTCCACCAAGATATAAAGTTTTCTACTTTCAGTGGCCAGATATAGATTAAGATGTGAAAGGTAGGACTGCAAATCCCTGTAATACATATTGCATTAAGCTTGATAAATCATTTTAAAAATGAAAAAATATAACAACTATTCACTCCAAGTCCAAAGCAAAGAAAGATTTGACATCTAAACACAACCATTAATCATGGAATCTGTTTAGGCATAAGAAAAATCACGAGGGAATGGATATCTCATCCTCAAAAAAAAAAAAAAAAAAAGAAAAAGAAAAAAAAACCTGCATATGGGAATATGGAATCAGAAGAGGCCTAATTTTATGCTAGCAAAAACAGTTTAAAAATGAATTAAACATCTGTAGCCTCCTTGTGTTCTGTTTTATCCACCTCCAGTTCAGTGAAAACTTGTACCAAAGTTTAGATGTTGAACAGCATCCACGATTTCCACACTTAAATATGCTTATCCAAGCGACGATAACATTAGTAGACAAGATTTCACATTCCCATCAAACAACCATTACCCCTGGAACCTCCAATGCACCATCTAACACTGTTCAATAATCAATCTCTTCGTCCACAATTGAATTCTCCCATTTCTATTAGCAGGGTATTTTAGACTAGACTTAACTAGTGAATAACATAATTAAATTTTATTTTTTAAACTGATAGTCAGGAACCATCGTATTTCTAGATAAAGATAAATCTGGAAAGCAACCATAAAGGGAGTCATAAAATTTTTACAATAAGAATTGCAGAACTCTCATGCAAAGGTTTCCTCGGAAAGAACAGCAGTTACCCACCAAAAAAGATACAGATGACGCAGGAGATAATGATCTTGAAACAAGAAGACACATAACAGGACCATAAGATCTTGATCGTTGCTAGTTGGAACTTAAAAAGTTAATGAGCCTAGAACACACATCCTGCCTGCATCTCCATTTGTATGCTCTGTTCACTAAGAGGCAGGGCGAAGTCATAACTAACTGAAAACTGGTAATTGGTACAAAATTGAGATTCGAACTGTCCAGCAGAAAGGATAAAAGAACAATGCTCTTTTGGGACTTCCTATTTCTTTCATGTAGTTAATGTAAGTAACATATATAACTACATTAATCATTTAGTTTTGTTGATTCACTAAACTATATGATGTTCGGTTAAGTAATTTCAGAAAAAGAGACTTCAAATTCATCTGATTTTTATTTCTCTCATGGGACAGAGGGAGAGAAGTAATGTTAAACTACCTTATTAGTAACGTGAGAGAGAAAGAAAGGAGGAGCAAGGAGGAAGGGAATTTGAGGTCTTCTAGTTGTAGTACCAAATCCAACATCCAATTGGGAAAGGCAGGCAAAGATTGAATCGAACTGTCACAGAGTCTCAAATTTACATTTTCGCAAGGAGACTCAGTTCCTGCCTTTCCAGGGGAATTAAAGAAATAGAACAAATTTTGTTAATTCCTTCGGTTACTGTGTAATAAGTTATTAATTGTTGATATACTGGCTCCGTTTGGAAATATTTAAACTAGAATTACAAATTTATTGTTCACCTTCAAACTAACAAAATACAGCTAAGAACTGCCTTGTGTGATCATTTAGTCAGAAATCATAGTTTTTTCATAGCATATACAGATGGAAATTGTAAGCTGGCGTTAACATAAATTTCATGTAGCAATTAAATAATTCCAATTCATTCATACATCAAAATAAAACATATAATAAACAGCTACGCCTGGGCAATAGAGAAAAAAAACAGTGTAATTTACCCAATTTGTAAACTTGTCAAGGGAAATACACAACGGCCATTGTCATCGTTCCCCATCAATGGTAACGTTACAGTTTAATCCTCGCTTCTCTCTCGATTTAACATCAACCAAAACTGTTCCATCAATGAATCATTCACTAATTTACTTAAGAAAAAATGCATCAAGAAAAAAAAATTCTGAAACATCGATACCTGTGGAAAAGAATAATAATTGTATTTTATCATCAACAGAATTCGAGGAATGAAAAGGAGAAAGAGCACCGCCGAACTTCATTAAACAGGACGAAAATTGCAGAAGAAACTGCTTCCACGACAAGGCAATGGATCAACCGACAAGAACAACACGCGAAACGCGCATCAGCAAAACAGGTACAACTAATGTAAAGGATATTTTTCTAGGATTAGGATTTAATGGCAAATCAATGTGGAAGGAATCGGAATAAATGATTGCTTGTTTTGAGAGGGTAAATGTGGTGGCACGGGTCAGGACACGTTGACTTCGTGTTTTGTCTTCTCTGTGTGTGTGTGTGTGAGAGAGAGAGATAATTGGAGCTTGTTTGCCTAAGCTTATAAAGTTTACTAATAAGTACATAAGTAAGTAATTAACCAATAAAATTTTTATATGTTGATAAATATTCCATTTCCCTTTCAAAAGTATTTCTAAATTCTCCTTCTTCTTTTTTCAGGAATTTTGAACTCTCCAATAATTATCGTTAAATTTAACAAAGTTGACAAAAGCTACCTATGAATTCCGAACTCTAACAAGTCTCATCAAATTAGAAGTTCTCAATCTCTTTTTTTTATTGCCGCACATAAATCTTCGCAGTTTTTGTTGAAATCTTATCATATCTCATTTCTGATTATGTTTTATACCCAAATATTTTAATATCGTGCTTTGAACTAATGAGCAAATATTGTGCCGCACTATTTTCACACGATCTGAGTTTATGAAAATCTTGATTAGCTATAAAATGTGGTATTAATAAAAGGTTTTGAGTATAAAAATTTGTTGAAAAAATGATTACATAAGTGCGAAAATAAAATTAATTTTAAAAATTCCAATATAATTAAAAAGTGCTGCAACAATAAAAATTATGGTGTTTCAGTATTTCTTGGCAAATGAGCACTATAGTAATTGAGTGATGCTACAGGTACATCAGAGACTACATAAGGATGTCCATAATGGACACCCCGCGCCTCCTCATTGGAGGGATGGTTGGTGGGGTCGGCATTCCATCCAATGGGAGGCACCGAGTGTCCATTATGGACACTCTTATGTAGCACTTGATGTACAAAAAGAATAACTCATAGTAATTTCACATTACTAAAGACATGATTTTTGGCAACAAAAAATAAAATAAAAAATGACTAGTTAGAAAAAAATTATAAGTACTTTATTCATCAGAATCAGTGTTAATTAAGCCCATGTTTGACACCCATTTTTTATCTCATTCTCATTCTCATTTTTCTACGGTACTCATTTCTAACCACACATTCTTCAAATAAAATAATATTACACATAAACCCAAAAATTCTTCTTACTTTTTAACCACACATTCTTTACATTAATCACTATTCAAAAACTTATTCTTCAAAATAATGGGTGTCAAACGGGGCCTAAGTTACTTTTTTGATATGAAGGTAAATCATAAATGCTCTCATTACTTTTTTTTAAAGCATAGCCAAACATGCTCTTGAATTAATTTTTGTTGGCTAATGGATATAATCCCAACCACTTTTACGGAGAAGGGTGCAGATTTTGGGAAAAGCAAACGCGGGGGAATACATTTATTGCGTCGTTATCTTTTCACAACGGGAATAATTTCAATTTTGGTCATTGAACTTCTAATAATATTTCAACTGGATCACTCAATTTTAATTTTATCTCAACATATATCATAACTTTAATTTACTTTCAATATTAGTCATGTGGTTAACCAACGTTACTAAAATTAATGTTTCAATTCTACGTGGACATTAAAAATTGATGGCACTCTGTGTGTCTTCATTTTGTAAAAATAGGATCCCTAATTTTGTAGCTACAATTCATATTACAGTAATGCTAAATGTACACATTATGTTTATCCCAACTTGATGTCCCCTTCTTTACACTTGGCATTGTAAAACTATAAACACATAAAAGAATCAATAATGGTCGGACGAGCCAAATGGACCATTGTGTTGTTCCAAGATTATGTCCAAGTAAAAACATGTGGACCTTCCACTTAGTCTATATTTGGTCCCCATTCTTTCAAAAACTCATTTTCAACCATATATTCTTTCATAGAATAATTTCACATAAATAGAAAAAAAATTCTTTTTTTTAACCGCACATTCTCCAAAAAATCACAATTCCAAAATACTTTATCTTACAAAATGGGGCTCCAGCTTATTTAGACCAAATTTATAATAGATATAATAAAATAAAAAAAAATCTACATGCATTCTGTTAAATTGATCTCAAGATAACATACTCTTGAATCATGATTTCATAATAATTGCAGAAATGTACAAGTACAAAAAATTTACATTGGAGAATTCTACTACCTCTAATGTTTGGACTAAACGAAATTACTGGTACAACATGTTGTAAGCTGGGAGGTCCTGTATTCTACGAACATCTTCTAAAGACAGTTCCCTCTCTAATTGTATCCTTGTTATTTGTAGAACCTCCTTGATCAACCGACAAGAACAACACGCGGAACGCGCATCAGCAAAACAGGTACAAATAATGTAAAGGATATTTTTCTAAGATTAGGATTTAATGGCAAATCAATGTGGAAGGAATTGGAATAAATGATTGCTTGTTTTGAGAGGGTAAATGTGGTGGCACGGGTCAGGACACGTTGACTTCGTGTTTTGTCTTCTCTGTGTGTTTGTGTGAGAGAGATAATTGGAGCTTGTTTGGCTAAGCTTATAAAGTTTACTAATAAGTACATAAGTAATTAACGAATAAAATTTTTATATGTTGATAAATATTCCATTTCCCTTTCAAAAGTATTTCTAAAGAGAGAGATGCATTACACTCCTCTCACAATGGCGGGTCCGCAATTTAAAAAATCGCGAACCCCACACTCCATTGTGAGAGGAGTGTAAGTCTTAGCCTTAGGGGGTGTTTGTTTTTTATTTGAGAATTGATTCTCAAATCAATTCCCATTTTCAATCACATTTCTACAGTAAATCAATTCCCATTTTCAATCACACATTTTTCAGTAAAATAATATTTTTTATCACATCAATAATTTTTTCTTCTTTTTCAATCACACATTTCCCATCATATCACTATTCAAAAATCAATCATTCTCTCAAAAATCCCTACCAAACAAGCACTTAAGTGTACATTAAGACTTATTCATTTCTAAATTCTCCTTTTTTCACGAATTTTGAACTCTCCAATAATTATCGTTAAATTTAACAAAGTTAACAAAAGATAGACATGAATTTTGAACATCTAACGAGTCTCATCAAATTAAAAGTTCTCAATCTCTTTTTTTTTATTGCCGCACTTAAATCTTCGCAATTTTTGTTGAAATCTTATCATATCTCATTTCTGATTATGTTTTATACCCAAATATTTTAATATCGTGCTTTGACCTAATGAGCAAATATTGTGCCGCACTATTTTCACACGATCTTAGTTTATGAAAATCTTGATTAGCTATAAAATGTGGTATTAATAAAAGGTTTTGAGTATAAAAATTTGTTGAAAAAATGATTACATAAGTGCGACAATAAAATTAATTTTAAAAATTCCAATATAATTAAAAAGTGCTGCAACAATAAAAATTATGGTGTTTCAGTATTTCTTGGCAAATGAGCACTATAGTAATTGAGTGATGCTACAGGTACATCAGATGCTACATAAGGATATCCATAATGGACACCCGGCGCCTCCTCATTGGAGGGATGGTTGGTGGGGTCGGCACTCCATCCAATGGGAGGCACCGAGTGTCCATTATGGACACCCTTATGTAGCACTTGATGTACAAAAAGAATAACTCATAGTAATTTCACATTACTAAAGACATGATTTTTGGCAACAAAAAATAAAATAAAAAATGACTAGTTAGAAAAAAATTATAAGTACTTTATTCATCAGAATCAGTGTTAATTAAGTTACTTTTTTGATATGAAGGTAAATGCTCTCATTACTTTTTTTTAAAGCATAGCCAAACATGCTCTTGAATTAATTTTTGGTGGCTAATTGATATAATCCCAACTACTTTTACGGAGAAGGGTGCAGATTTTGGGAAAAGCAAACGCGGGGGAATACATTTATTGCGTCGTTATCTTTTCACAACGGGAATAATTTCAATTTTGGTCACTGAACTTCTGATAATATTTCAATTGGATCACTCAATTTTAATTTTATCTCAACATATATCATAACTTTAATTTACTTTCAATATTAGTCATGCGGTTGACCAACGTAACTAAAATTAATGTTTCAATTCTACGTGGACATTAAAAATTGATGGCACTCTACGTGTCTTCATTTTGTACAAATAGGATCCCTAATTTTGTAGCTACAATACATATTACAGTAATGCTAAATGTACACATTATGTTGATCCCAACTTGATGTCCCCCTCTTTACACTTGGCATTGTAAAACTATAAACGCATAAAAGAATCAATAATGGTCGGTCGAGCCAAATGGACCATTTTGTTGTTCCAAGATTATGTCCAAGTAAAAACATGTGGACCTTCCACTTAGTCTATGTTTGGTCCCCATTCTTTCAAAAACTCATTTTCAATTATATATTCTTTCATAGAATAATTTCACATAAATCGAAAAAAAATTCTTTTTTTTAACCGCACATTCTCCAAAAAATCACAATTCCAAATTACTTTATCTTACAAAATGGGGCTCCAGCTTATTTAGACCAAATTTATAATAGATATAATAAAATAAAATAAAAAAATCTACATGCATTCTGTTAAATTGATCTCAAGATAACATACTCTTGAATCATGATTTCATAATAATTGCAGAAATGTACAAGTACAAAAAATTTACATCGGAGAATTCTACTGCCTCTAATGTTTGGACTAAAC